TCTTTTACCCCTTGCATCTATCTTCTATGAGTATATTTAATCACGCGTTTGGACATACAATTTGAAATCACGATTTCAAATCATTATTTAGATATGTATAATTTTATATTATGGTTTTGAGTTTTAAAGAAAAAATTGATCTGTAAAAAAAAAGAACCATTATGTTGAAGTGTGCAAGAAATAGACTCATAGTCGATGTAAAGAGATCGTTTATACTTTGTGAAAGAGTTATACTAAAGAGTAGCTAGTTATATTTATTTGAAACTTTGTAATTGCGTACATCTATTTATAAAAGAAATAGGAGATATGTGATTAAATATTAATGTGATGTATTATAATATTTTGATATCTTATTTATGAACTATAGTTGCTCATTGGTAAGATTATTTAAGAATTGAGAATTTTTTTTGAAAGATTTCATAACTTTACTGCATCTAATAATGTCTGCCAACCTACTAAATAAGCACTGCTATTATCACTAAATGATTGTAGTTAATTAATGAGTTTAAGTTATGTACTCCCTCCTCCATGTTTTGATTTAATTCAAATTTTATTTAACTTTGAAGATTAATCAAATTAACTTTTGAAAAGTGAAACTTGACAAATACTAAGACGAAAGAAATTCTTTGTTAGTATTATAATTTATTTATTTATTACATTATCAGATTCTCCACGGTAGAATAACTGTATTTCTTCCCATATATGGCAATTACACTTCTCTATGTTCTGTTCACCTAGATCTTATTTGAATTCTTTTACACACGTACGTATCTTTTTCTTTATATCAAAAAGGCAATGCACGTGTAAGATTGGTATATACATTTAAAAAATAAATTTTTGGCTCTAAGTTAAGTTTACAAATTCGTTAGTGATAATCGTTAAAACTTATACAAGGAGGATAAAAATCAATTATTATGGAATTAGGTAAAATTAACAATTTATTATTAGAAAATAACTATAATTTAAAAATATTATAAAAAGTGCAATATTTGTTTTTATAGCAAATCCTTCTTCTCTCTCCCTTGCCTCTCCTCCCTCTATCTCTTTCTTTGTTTCTCTCTCTTGCCAATATGAAGAAATTCATTCAAATGTATTATATATCAATTGTATTAAATCATATATAGGTGAGAGTATTGTATTTTATTTCAATAGTATTCGAAAAAAATGTATTTTATATTTTTGTATCAATCGTATATGTATTCATACGAATACAATATGCATTCATCCTCTATATCAAATGTATTTATATCCAATCAAAGAGAGGATGAATAGTTGAATACAGTTGTATTCATTGTATTTGAAATACAATTGATACAAAATAAATAAAGAATACAATGCAGCATTAAATACAAAATACGATTCTTTGTATTTCCAATACAATTGATATAAAATGAATACATAATACAATGCAAAATACAATTGTCTCTCCTCACTCTCTCGATCTCGCTCGCCTCTCTTCTTAATATATATTCATTTTGATACAAATAAGTTTGTATTTGTATTGTTTTCTCCAAATTCCGCAAAAAATACACTCTCTCTCCTCTCTCTCAAATCTTATGTGCCTCTCTCCTCTCCAAAAATTTTGCTATTATTGATAATTAAGCAAACTATAGCAATAAAGTGTCTAATGTTTGCTATTATTGAAATTTCCCAAAAATATAAGTCAGAGGAAAGCAGTAAAAAAAATCAGGGAAAAGCCAATATTTCAGTTTTTATTTACCTATAGTACTGCCAACATCAACTTTAATATGAACCAAATGTACATATATACTAAAAATTCGATAGTAAAGTCACGAGTATTTTTAATAAACAGTATGTGCACATGCAATCTGAAATTTTAGTTGCAGGTTTTGCACATATCTATATAACCAAAGGTATCTCTATCTTTTTTTCTTTAAATAAAATGATGGAAAATAAGCTAAGGGGACCATAGTTTATAGTTTACCCAACCACTTTTGGAATTAAGCTATCGGAGTTTACTATTTTGGAATACATGCATGAATTTATTAATTGAAATTTTTTCATATATATAAATTCCTTGTGAATTCTTCAAGAGAGGGACACCCAAACAAACCTCACCTAATCTCATACTCTTTGGATCTTTTACTTAACCCAAATTCTCTTGGGAAAGCCAAAAGTATATTACGAAAATGACTTGACCTAGCAATACACTCACCCAAACCATACAATTATTAAATTTTATTTAAGTTAACGGACCGTACAAAGTATTATTTACACTATCAATATATACATCTAATTTAAATTATATAAATTGACAGTATAATTTTCTTAGCGTATATCATTTACTATGTTTTAATTTGTAAATTACTCCTTAGTCCTTACTATACTCTTTAGAAAGCTAATCGTTGTTGTTTTCTAAATGAACTAATAGTGTAAAAAAAAAAATTATTCTTTCAAAGTCATCAAATTATGTTTTATAATAGTAATTATAAATATTTTTTTACACTATCAATATACTTAACATGTAGGAGTAATAGATAACTAGTTTCGTTTATTATGTGTAGTTAATTCAATATTTTTCTATTAGATATTTAATAACGTAAAAATAATTTTTACAGTAAGCATATAGAATAAGTTAAAGTGTAAAATGAATGTGTGTATTTTCAAATAAAGACGACAAACATGACATTCCTTGGACCGGAGAAACAATTCCCTCCCATGTTCTTAAATAAATCAAACATGTTTGCTACGTTTTATATTAATTTGTTATCTTTGTTTGGTATCTTGTGTTTGGTGACAAGACATGGAAAATAATTCTTTCTCACATGCAACTTAATAAACATATATAGACCTTTTCAATTCAATATAATTGGATACCTTTTCAATTATTTGTATTTACTATACTCTTTTGGCCAAAATCACTATGGAAGTACGTACGTAGTTGAAACATTTCACTTCCTTAGATCAGTTCTATATTACAATTAACCTAAGATATGCTTTATTTTGTAGTATTAAATTTCCTATTAAATTATTCGAGCATAGTTTTTCCTTTGTCAAATTGACCCTCCAAAAAATAGAGGAGGTATGTTCATGTTAAAAAAAGTTTATTTTTTTAATGTCGGTAAATTTAAAACATCTAGTTAACTTGACACACGACTAACTATTTGTTGCAAGTCTGATATGATAATCGGGAAAATAGAGTTAATAATGCGTACTTATAACTGATATGATCTGCAAATTAAAGATGCTGGCTGGCGTAGGATATAGACAAATAAGATGGGGTTAATCAACGATCTATTTTTTATTCTGATGTTTAGTTCTTTCAAGTACTACTTCCAAAAGCCTATATAATCGTAGGCTTTTGACTAAAAGATTTAGGGGGGAATGTTGTCCATTATTGTGTATGCAAGAATTTGTAATGTTTCAAAATATTTTTAAAATAGATGAGTACACTTTTTAGGTATATTTGTACAAAACTGTCAACTCTAAAAGTATTTTTGAATCAAAGTATTGACAAGATCATTTTTTAGGCCAAACTCTAAACGAATGACATTTTTATTCATTTCACATTGTTTTAAAGGGATTTAGACCCTTTTCCAATTCATCAATACTCGATTGATTAATATGAGATTATAAACCTACAAAAAATTGTCTATGCCTCTTTAATTTGTTTCTTTTTTATCCAGGTTAATTACTACTGCTCTAGTGAGGTATTTCCTATTTCAATTTGTTTGTCTTAATTTTTTTTAGTCAATTTTAGAAAATGCATATATATATATGTATAAAATCCAACCTTTTAATTATAGTTTTTTGCGTAACTCGTTTAAATCTCAAAATTAATACAAAAAGGGAGTACTAAATGATAAAAAATAGTGAAGTACAATTATTTCTTCTCATTACTTTGATATGACCCTGGTCTAATCTATTCAGGGAAAAATTTTCATCTAGACGAGTCCAAAGAGCTGACTAAAAATTACTGACTTGACTGCTTATATCAATGACTTATCAAATTATTACTAGTATTTGATTGGGTGCCACATATTTTCATAATAATACCATTATTGAAGCTGCCAGTACTGTTGCGTCCAAATGAATAAATTAAAGTTAAAGATCATCAGAAAGCTTTTATCATTTGGGGCCATACTTTCTATGAAGCCATGTGTTCATTCAAATTAGACTTAACATTACTAGAAGAAGCCTCTGAGAATATGTACTTTCAAGTTTCAACTTATGAAATTCCCAGACAGTGGTTGTTTCAATTGCTGTGCTAAAAAGTGATTAGCCCGCGCTATTAATATAAAAAGCTTTTACCGCAACATAAAATAAGAATCCATTCACTCCAACTTGTTTACAACTTTTTGCTTATCTAAGATCAATGTAAACGCGATGACCTGTGCTGTAGCCTACTATTATTACTTGTATTTTTAGATTTTAAAAACCGATGTACAACAACAAGGATAATCGGACCAACTCTGTCTACAGGACAATGAGAATGGCATCGATGGACAAGATTAAGAATATCTAATGCAAATAGACAAAAACAGTAAGTAGAAATTAATCAAAACAGCCTCACTTCTTCTGACCAGCCTTGGTGACCTTGCCACCGGTTGGATCTTTCTTGTCAATGTTCTTGATAACAACAGTTTGACACATGTTACTCACAGCAAAACAACCCAATGGTTGGGTACTCTGAGAAGGTCTCAACAACTATTGGATTTGTGGGAATCATCTTAACCATGTTGGGATCACCATTTTTAAGAACTTGAGCACCTTCTCAAGTTCCTAGCCAGACAGCATATCAACCTTGGTCAAGATCTCAGCAAACTTGCCGGTAATGAGGGAGGTGTGGCAACCAAGGACAGGGGCATCTCCGTTTCCAATCTGGACACGATGATTCATGATGATGACCAGGGAAGTGTTGGAAGCCCCCTTTGGCTGGGTCATCCTTGGAGTTGGAAGCCACAAAACCATGCTTGAGATCCTTAACCACAAGTCCACAACATTCAGCAGGTTGAATCCAACATTGTCACCAGTAAGTGCCTCCTATAGACCTTTGTGGTGCATCTCAACAGATTCAACTTGGATCACATTTTACTTTTTCCTCACGGCCTTGCTCTGGACTCCATCTTGTGATTGTTCTCTCTTCAACAATATAATTATCTAAGCATGATGGAGAAGCTGCACAACTTTGTTGTTGTTGCTCAATATCGAGAATTAACAATGTTTTCGCCACACTACCACAAAGACGAAGAGTGCAGTGGAAGTCGGACCAAACTCTCAAGCGACCATTTGCACTACCATCTTGTGCTGATAAAACGAGCACAGCATATTCAGAATGTACCAAAGCAGGATGATGACGATAGGCAACAAAGTCTACCCCATACTGAGAGCCCGATCTAGTCACCCAGTTCTTACTTCGAAGGTGAGAAAAAACTTTGAATAAGATAGGAAAAGTTTCCTTCTTGGATGTCATATGCTTCCATAACTCATCATTATTCAGTTCAGTGTCATTGTGGTCAACAACCTTAATGCATTTTAGAGAATATTGAAGGTAAAAAGCTTCTTCCATGGAGAGCTGAAACCATTGCTCATTCTTTTCTGATGTTACCCTAGGTCTACCAAAACATGCACGATTGAGGAGGTCAGTTAATTCTGCATCTGCTTTAAGAAGCACACTCATACCAGAAAGCAGTCCTATGGAGTTTGAGCTGATCAGAAAATATTGGAGCTGGCTGACTATTTCTGAAATGGGATCTGCAAGAGCTTTAACTTGTGCCCCTTGTCCTTTCCACCTCGACCCCATTATTCACGTTCACAACAAAAAAAGGAGCTCTGAAATGACGATACTCTGATTTACACCTGTTTGTTCAACCAACATCGCAACTAAAAGAGTGTAATGAACCAGTTACATAGTTATACAACACATTATCATTAGCAAAAAAAAAACACTAGGTACAAAGTTTCAGAAGTATTAAGTAAATTGCATTTTGCCACAGCAGACATAAATTATGCCTATAAAGTTACAAGGATTAAGAGTGCGAAAATTCTTTTAGTATTACAGAATTCATGAAGTGTTGTGTCTTATTATGTCCAACATACTTTAAATTAAATCTATGAAATGGTAGTTCCAGTTTCATTCTAGGAAAGCACTTTGTCATACAACTATTGGCAGTAAATCAACTGAAATGATCCAAATAAAGAATCCTTTATGATTCGACGATCAGAAAGCAATTATATTGCACATTCATCAAATCGTAACAGAGACAAAACACTAGGTAATTCTTGCATCTGTTTTAGTTTTGGTGAACAAAGTTATCTGTATGTAATTAGTGAAGCGCAAACAGGCCCACACACCATTATCAAATTTTTTTTTGAAAGTTGTAGATTCAATTAGGTCTACAAATATACTTAGAAGAGATGTAGGTTTTAGAAGTACAAGTATATCGATCGAAAGAGATGAGTATGTACTTAGAATAATTGAAAGTAAATAAATGAGGAAATGGAGCTTACCTTTTGAAATCCAAAGTAGAGGGCTCCTCTCCTCCTAAACACAAGCCGCCAGAGCCCAGAAGATGGGACAAGCAAATCAATTAAAGTTGAAGAGGAGGATTTGTGAGTGTTTTTACCTAAATGCCCTTATCTTTTCTCTTAGGAAAATTGGAGTACTAATGAACAGGTTTGTGTCTACTCCAGTGAAACACCACCGTGCTGTTAAATCTAGCATTCCGAAGCCTTAAAGTCAAAAATTATTTATATGTTTGATTGATGAAACACCAATTAAAATAAATCGTAAAGTTTATAATAAACCATCAATTTGATTTCATGTTACATTCAACCAAGCCGATTATTTTTCAAAGTGATATGATATTAACAAGAAATGACTAAATGATTTGGAGACCGAATGAAACTCTAATTAATGGAGTTCAAAGGCATCAATAGAACCCGAAAAGGAAAATCCTTTTTATTCAAAACTCACACTCGCAAGACAACAAAGGAATCAAAATGCAATCTTAAGAAGAAAAAAAAAAAGTAGTTCCTAGATTGGCATCTACCTTTCAAGCCAAAACTCAAACTAGAGTTATTGTTGGATAAATAAAATTTCCAACACTTTTTACTAAACTAATCAAAACCCATGATCATGTCATGCCTAAGCTCCCCACAATCCTCTCAAAATTGGTCTTCTTCTTCCTCTCTGGCTCTGAAGCCTTGTCTTGTGAAGAATCCCACGACGATGCAGGCAATATGACTTGTTCGTGTTGAGCATTGGCAATCCTCTTAAGCCTTTTCTCATTAATTCCAAATGCAGCTGCAAATTCTGGCCCTCTTAAGCTCTGCATCAATGAGTTCTTACCCACCAAGAACTGTTGATGATTCCTCCTTGCTGATGTTGTGAAGCCAAAGAACTCAAAATGGCCATTTGTTGAAGCAATTTGGCAGAAAGGGAAGTACCTTGGCACCCAAAAAACGTCCCCTTCTCGTACTCTGGCATTCATTGCTAAAGTCCCATTTGGATACACAATTTGAATCCTACCAGTCCCTTTTAACACTACTCCATACTCTATTGCTGATGGATTAACATGAGGTGCCATCATGGATCCCTACATTATAAAAAAACAAAAAAAACATATTAATGCGAAGAAAGAGATCGACTATACCATGATGTTGAATTATGTGAGGGTCATTACCGGAGATAGATTGACAAGGTAAACGCCATTGCCAGATTGTTCTAGAGGAGAATAATCAGACGAATCCACATTCTTGCTCCATCCATAATGGTTCTTGAAATTGGGCTTCTTCTTGTAGAGATTGTATACTGATGGAGCTTTATGATGATGATTGACAACATTTTCTCTGTTTACTAAATTAAACAAAAATTTCCTCAATGACCATGTTGATTTTTCCTCTTTTGGGCTAGCTTCTTCCCCAAAATTCACAATCCTCTTCAAGTGAGCTAGTTTTTGGGCCGGTTCTTGGGCCAAGAATTCGGACCACATATTTTTGTGATGAGAACCAGGTATATGCACAATTGGACCAGAAGTTTGCCTGGTCATAAACGTATGTAATTCTTCTGGCGAGACCTGCCATGTTACATAATATTAACTCAATTTTTTCTACTGATAAATGTTGTAAGAAATGGTAAAACTACTTACATTAAGAGCAGTTGCTAATGTGTTATGATCGAATCCAGCAAGGACGGATGCAGGATGAGTTCCACCGCCAATGAAGAAAGACTGTAAAATGTTTCAACATTACAGAAAGTTTTGGGAAGAAAAGAAAGCCATTAAAATACCAATTTTTCAGAAACTAGCTTAGGGTACCTGGAAAGCATGCCATCCCATGGATTCTGAGGTAATATCAATACTACAAGTTATGCGAAGTCTCTGATTTTCAAGTCTATTCTCCAAATAGAAAGCTGATCCAGCAGGAATTGTGTACACATCTCCATGCTTTAAATGCCTTTCCACTAATTCACCGCTATAGATGTGTCCAACTCTTGCTTCCCCTGTATTCGTTTCATCAAAAAATGAATATTCTAGCTCGTTATTTACACTATCCTTATACTTCAAAATGCAGTAATATACAATCTATCATATTATTTTCCAAGCTACAGATCCGGGAAGATGTAATGACCCTCATGGTCATTTCTGTGTCTTG